TAGCACTTCTTTGGTTAGTTATGCATTTAGGCTTTTTTGTGTATATCCCCCAGGGTTTGCCATTGTAGAATGAATTTAAATTGATGCTATCTTAGCTAAGTTAAAGGTTGACAGATATGCCTATCCACGTGCCAAAATAGTTTTAGCAGTTCATTACAGAAAGTAGTGCATTTATATAGTTTTACATAAAATAATTTTTAAAAGCTACAAGAAAGCAGATTTCCACAACTTAAGCCATGGCTTCCTGACTCCTAAAGTTTGTCAAGTTCAGGATTAAGTGTTCTATAATTCTCAGTTTTTCTAATTTTAACTTTTCAAACAGAGATGAGATCTGTCTGCAGCATGTTTTCTGACATACTTTGCAATGCAAATTGTAGATACACTTTTGCTGATTAAGGATGATGTGTACTAATTCCTGAATAGTACATGGCATGAAGGCACAAACAGGTCCTCTGACCAAATTCCAAATATTGTATTATTTATAAAACAGCAACACGTCTTACAGCACCTCTTGTATCACAAGATTATAAAGATACCAGCTGAACTTCCCTGAATGAGACAAAGCACAGGAAACAGTTGGGAAGTAGAAAGTTGCACTGCAGTCCCACTCCTATGCATAGTTGTACACATTTACAAGATTTATTTAAAGATATATTAGTGCAAGTATCATATGGCAAGCAAATGCTTTATGGCTGAAATCATTGTTCCCACATTCTCTCTGTTATATTAAATATCTAAATTAAATCCAAGAAAATACAAACTGGCACTGAAATACAGAATATAAATTCAGTCTATTTAAAAAAAAAAATACATTTTGAGATATATATATATATATAAGGATTTTATATATATATATATATATACATAAAAACCAAGTAGATGGCTGCACTCACGGTTCTGTGTAAAAGTCCAAAGTTTATTGAAGATGCATAAAATAACTTGCGATCAACGTTTCAGTTGATCGCAAGTTATTTTATGCATCTTCAATAAACTTTGGACTTTTACACAGAACCGTGAGTGCAGCCATCTACTTGGTTTTTCTGGATACACTAGCTATATGGGGCTGGCACCCGGTCACTTAAGGATGTATTAGCGTGAGTGAAGGGACTATTTTTTTATATATATATATATATATATATATATATATATATATATATATCCTTACAGTGTTGCAAAGTAATATAAGTCATGTGAAAATGCATACAAATTGTTATTACATCGTTATGACCATTTTCTTTTATGAATCAAATGTCATCACTTACTGTAGTACCATGGATTGTCCCACCGTCACTACTTGTATAAATCTCTGTATCTAAAATCTACGTTCAAAGCTACATGCTACATGCAGATGTATTTCAAGCCCTGAATTGACATTAGCAGCCAGAACAGAGTGCTGGGCTGTCAATGTCACGTGTGCTTGGGCTGCAACTAGACCACAGCAGACGCTTAAAATAACACAGTATGTGCAATGTTTCAAGCAGAAACACTGCACATACTGACATCTACCACCACAACCACTTCAAAATACTGAAATGGTCGTGGTGGTTGGAGTAACTCCTTAATAATTACACTCCCCCATTGCCACTTACCTTTATTTATATTTATTATCTTTTCTTCCTTGCATTGGATCTCAATAGCTCGGTTCCTCCATTTTCTTCTACTCTGAGCATAATGTCTGCAAGTTGCCTTCTGTGGGATTCTTTCTACTGATGGATTGTGGGTAAATTAGCTTAGCAATTGAAATGGAACTATGCTTAAACTCTGCCTTTTCCATAATCCATACTTGTTCCAATGTAGAACTAAAAAACTGGGTACATTTTTAATAATAAAAATAAAAAAACAAGGAGAAATGGAGGGACAGTAAAGTATTAATTTAGAAACAAGACCTGCAGTGTGAGAGACACTTTAAATACAGCCCTGCTCTGATTTAATGCCATTAACACAAGAACAATGTGTATCTCCACTTGTTATAATGCGTAATGCATCTGAAATCTCCTTGTTTAAAAAAAGTCCAGTGTAGTGGGTATGGTGCCAGGACAGTATCACTCCCCACCTCCACTGCAGTCGCAGGTCCAGCAGGAATCTCTCTGTCTGAGTTAGGTCTAGCAGTGCAACAAGATCAGCTGGCAGTTTCAGCTAATGAACTAGTCCTGTGCTGGGTTCTAAAACTGTTTGACTACCTACAATGTGGGCACCAGGGCAATCCAGTCGTTATAGCCAATACAGTGCTTTTAAAATGTACGTATTCCTAAAAGAGCAAATTTCACTGTAAAAATTATATATATAAACTATATTTATATGCATAAATGGCAGAAGATGGTAGAATCAACTATTAATATAAAATATAACACATTTTACTTTTTAAATAAATAACACATTATACTTAATAAAGAATAGCACATTTTTCTTTTTAAAATAATAAAAAATAATCATATTAAATATTAATTATCAAATTAAATGAAAATACTAAACTGCAATAGTTGCATGTATTGTATTTATATGAAATCCATTGTTTGACAGACTTTTGTTGAATTCAAACGGCACCTAGAATAGCGATTTTTAAGATATATTTTGAATAATTGTATATATACTTCTCCAATCATTATAGTGAAAATTGCTCTTTTAAAGATATGTGTGACGAGACCAATCTCGCCACATTGCATTGGAGAAGCCTGGTTGCTCGCCTGCTGCCTTTGGACTATGGCCCCCTGTTAAAAGACATCTTTTTTACCTGCAGAAAAGCTTCATTCGTGCTTTTCTGCCTGGAGTTCGGTAGATTTGTTTGAATGTGTTATAGCCCAGATAGGAATCCCATGGAGCCCATTCGTATGAAACTGACTGTAAAGACTTTGGCTCCATGGCGATTAAACTGTATTCGTGTGGTCTGAGCGCCATTCGCTTAATAATGTGCGCTCGGACCTGAGCTATCTGGGGATATGTTACATGTCTGTGTTTTGTGTTATAAATGTGACTTTATGTATTTTAAAGTGTTTTGTGTCTTTTTGCAACCATGTGCTTGTTACAAAAGACTGGAAATCTCACGCCCCAACAACAACAAGAACTTGCAGCAGACATAACGCACGAGGAGGTCACCGCGGCCATCCGATCCCTACCACCGGGTAAATCACCAGGTCCAGACGGCTTTGCCAACTGTTATTACAAACAGTTCCAGACCATCCTAACGCCCCATCTAACTAACGCTTTCAATGAAGCCACACGCCAACAAAAACTGCCCACCGAAACACTATTGGCACATATCATCACACTCCCAAAACCTGGAAAACCCCCCACATGCCCACAAAACTTCCGTCCCATTTCCCTATTAAACACTGATGCAAAATTATACGCAAAGATTTACGCACGACGTCTGGGAACGATACTCCCGCACGTCATCCACACGGACCAAGTGGGGTTTATAAAAAACAGGCAAGGAGGGGACAACACTAGAAAAGTACTCGATATTATGCATAGTGCACAACGAATGAAGGTGGGTACCGTGCTGATGTCATTAGACGCGGAAAAGGCCTTCGACCGGTTGAGTTGGGAGTTTCTAGAACAAGTCCTCCTTAAATTTGGAGCACCGGGAGGCTTCCTCTCGGCGGTCAGGGCGCTCTACAACAAACCAACGGCGAGGGTCCTCAATGCAGGCTTTGTCTCTGAGCCCTTTACCATAACTAATGGCTCACGCCAGGGGTGCCCCCTTTCCCCATTGCTATACGTAATGGCTCTAGAGCCGCTGGCGGCGGCCATAAGACAAAATGCCTCCATCCACGGAGTGAAAATAGGACTCACAGAATACAAAGCGAATTTATTCGCTGATGACATCCTGCTGACGCTTACTCAACCACACATCTCACTCCCAAATTTAATGGCCAACATAGCGGAATATGGGAAACACTCCTACTACAAGTTGAACGTAAACAAAACACAAGCAATGGGAATAGGGATACAACAAGAAGCCTTAGATAGACTTAAGTCTGCTTTCCCCTTCGATTGGAGAACAGACCACTTAACGTTCCTAGGCATTAAAATTCCAGCGAACCTAGGCAAACTCTTAGACAAAAACTACATACCTCTCGCAAAAGACATTGCCACTACCCTGGAAAGTTGGAAAGGTAAATTTTTATCATGGGTAGGAAGATTGGTGGCAATCAAAATGATGCTGCTGCCAAAGTTCCAATACCTACTACGCACCCTCCCCATAGCACTGCCAAAATCATACATAACCGCTCTACAGAAAACAATAACTCAGTATGTGTGGGCTAACAAAAGACCAAGGGTGGCAGCGGTGACCCTCCAAAACCCAATCGTGGAAGGAGGACTGGGCCTCCCATGCATAGGAACATACTATAGAGCAGCCCAACTGGCTTCGGTCAAAACTGCCACAGCACTGGGGGAGCCACTACAGTGGACCCAAATAGAATCGCACTGGGCGCAAACACAGAACCTACGGGATCTTTTCTGGCTCCCGGAGCACTTACGCCCCAAGTCCTTCCAACCCCTACCTACCACTACACACACATTAACTTGCTGGGACGACCAAAGGGGAAAAGAGGGAGATCACAGAGACATAAAAGGGAACGCCCCAATCTCGTGTCTAACAGTGGGCATCCCATCCTTCGACGCCAAGACATGGGGGAAGGTGGGTTGCACTGAGATACACCACTTATACGAAGACAACCGCCTAATCCCCTTCCCAGAACTCCAAACAAAGCACAATATACCCAGTAGAGCATTGTTCTCCTACCTACAACTTAACTCCCTACTCACGGGCACCAAAATACAAGCCCCCAACCCACAAAACTCACGCAACGCAACAACCCACTGCTTGTCAGGCAGACCCCCAAAGAAAACTCTATCGCATTTGTACACTGCTCTAATAGCAGAGAGATCAGGGGCAGTCATGACATTCCAGACAGCGTGGCATGCAGAGCTGGGAAGGACACTAGAGACAGACGACTGGAAGCGAGCCTTCTCGATACACAAAGGGAACACACTTTGCACAACTCACCTAGAGACTATACGGAAGCTACAATATCGATGGTACATGGTACCGGAGAAGCTAGCAGCGCTTTACCCACACTCGCCCAACATTTGTTGGAGATGTGGAGCCGTGGGAGGCTCGATGAGCCATATATGGTGGACATGCACGCAAATCAGGCAATACTGGAAAGACGTGGAAAATATAGCAGGGAACCTGCTAGGCAGAAGTTGGCCACTCACTATTGAACAAAGCATCCTATTCATGATCCCAAAGACCCTAAGCAAAACCGAAGAAGGGCTCATATTTCACCTGCTCATAGCAGCAGTAACCCTCATAGCCAGAGCCTGGAAATCACAGACAGCACCCACGAAGGAAGCCCTACTTGACCAAATTTCCCTTAATTGGAAGTACGAGCAGATGGCAAACGCACACCTAAGACAACGAAAACACATTGGCATAGCGGGAGAGAAATGGTGGGCATATATGGGGACACACCACACGAGACTTGACACAGAACCCAGGGGAAATGCAAAAAACAAAGAAGGGGGAACAAGAGAGGCGGGAGACACGGCAGGGGTGACCCATGAAGCACAATAAAGCGGGCAAATAGAGGACAACACCAAGGGACGACAAAGCCAAACAATAGGGGGCTGGACGAGTCCCACGAGAGTAACACACACCAATGGGCAATGGAACTAGTTAGACTAACAAGGCGGGGATGTGAAAGCAACATGTAAAACCCCCGTGTGATGTAACAAAAAGTACCTGCAATACCCTCTTTTTACTTTCTGTACCCTGGCGTGCAGGCGCCGAACGCTTAACCTTGTGAAACACAAATAAAATTTAACGTTTCAAATTGAAAAAAAAACCAAAAGACTGGAAATCACTATGTTGCTGTTTTAACTCACCGATTGATACTGTTTGCCACTGCATAAGTTAAGCAGAAAACCACACGAATGGATTACGCGAACCCTTATGAAGGCTCCATTCGTGGTACGAACGGGGGACCCCCCAGAAACTGGCGTGTGCCGCCACTTAACCCCGTCACCCCGCAAACTACCGAACGGTCGACCACCAGGCCCGCGGAGTGTGGCAGCCATTAACCACCCAGGTGGCTGCGGTTTGCGGTTAACCACAACGTAATTGATATGCCTGGGGGCATCGACGTTCGCACCCAAAGTACAGAAGGGAAAATACCGAACTATCCACCGAACGACGACCCCCTACAGCGGGTCGCGTGGCGCTCATTAACTGTGGTTTCTGCGGTTAACCGCAGGTCAAGTACCCTGCTCCTAGGTGGTCCTCATTCTCTTACCGTACGAGCCCAGTACCAGACAGACAGCGGGACTTCGCATGAACTGATACCGAGTTTAGTTCCACGAGTTAGACACGAAGTCCCGCTGCTCGCTAAACCAGCAGAAAACATGGCCGCCAACAAAGACTAACAATCTCAAAATGCCGAACGGACTTTATACGGCAGAAACAGTACATTCTGTTCGTGGGATTAGAGCGCCATTCGCCTGTTTTATCTATACGAACGCGAGCCTTCAGATGAATGGTAGAATGAATGGTTTCCCTGTAATAATGTACAAGTTATGGATTTTTATGTAGTTTTCTGGGACATAATAAAACGTGGTCTTTTGTGCGCTTGGAGATAATTAGATTGTAAAACCGTTGGCCTCATTATCTCCAAGCTGGGCGGGTACTAATTCAAATGATACAGTGTACTGTGATTGTTACCTGTTTGTACTGTACCTGTATTCCATCAGGTCCACAGGGGGCTGTCCTTGGACCTGGGGAATCACATAAATTGCCATGCTATGTGCCAGTAAAGCGAGTTCCTGTTTTAACCCTCAACGTGAAGTGTAGTCTCATTATTGGGGGAAGGATTTATTGTATGCTGTTCCAGTTTGACTGCTAGGAGAGTAAACCTATTCGTATGGTTCCTATTCAACTGTCTACAGCATTCATATGCTTGGGAGAATTTATTTGTTTCTCCGGTTCGGTGATTGTGGTGTCTGCCAGAGTGCTTGGAGTCCTCAGGAAGCGCTAGGAGCATCCTTCAACGGAGGTACCCAGTCGGGGTGCCAGGCGATCCGTTACAATATGTATCTCAGAACACAGAAGCAGACCATAACTGTTCTGTTGCTGTTAGCTTCATGATCACCAAAAATGGACAAGTGAAGGTGTCATCTGCCAAATATCTTCTTCTGCTGTGACATTGAGATGGTGGGGTCAAAATTTGGCATAAACTGCATGAATCTAGGCATATATCCTGAGGGGAGCAATGTGCTAACCTTCTTTTCTTGACCTCAATCATTGACAGTCATGATGATACCTGCGTCAGCCCATCTACGCAAGCTTGCTGTCTTGGTGTTATCTTTGATTCTGGCCTCGCCTTTGCGCTTCACGACCAGTCTGTTGCTAAAACCTGTCGATTCCACCTTTAAAAACATTGCTTGCATCTGCCCGTTTCTCACACAAGATGCTGACTAGGAGCTTGTTCATGCTCTAGTAATTCCTCACATTTATTACTGTAAATCCCTACAAATTGGCTTCCCCAGAAGCTGTACTGCCTTGCTACAGTTTGTGATAAATGCTGCTACCAGTCTGTCCTGCTGCTCCTCTCACACATCACCCCTCTATTGATCCTTACACTGGATTCCTGTATCCTATAGGTATCAATACTAACCCTTATCTATAAAGCTCTTAGCAACTCTAACCCCTGTTATATTTCTTCACTGATTTGTAGGTATGCCCCCTCTCGGTCTCTCCGCTCTGCCAGGGACCTTCTCCTCTCCGTCCCTCCCAACCTTACTGCTAATTCACGCTTGCAGAACTTCTCAACCTTTCCTTTGGATGAGCCTACCCCATCAGACTTTCCCCTAGTCTTCAATCCTTCAAGAGGTCCCTCAAAACCCATCTTTTCAGAAAAGCTTATCACCTCCCAGAGAAACTTCTACTTTACAAACCAGTCTGTTGCTCTCTCCTAAAGGTCCACACTCCACTTTTACCTCCATTTCTACTTTCTTGCCTTATTTGTTTGCTGTCCCCTTGATGCCCTATTGTGTTTTTATACTCCACCTCCTCTAGACTGTAAGGTCATTTGAGCAGGGTCCTCATCAACCTATTGTCCCTGTAATATTTTGTAATTGTCTAATTTATTGTTAAATTTCCCCCTTTTATAATATTGTAAAGCACTGTGGAGTAAGTTGGCGCTATATAAATACTACTACCAATAATAATTTATATAACTTCCTAGAGATGCAGGTGAACAAACAGGATAATGTATTGATACAATTTTGGACACATAAACTGATGTCTACCAGAAAGGTGAAAAAGTGATGCCTTTGGTTTTTAATACACAAGAATAAAATTGTGTTACATACCGTGTTTCTCCGAAAATAAGACCGGGTCTTATATTAATTTTAGTCACAAAAAACACACTAGGGCTTATTTTCAGGGTAGGGATGATTTATTTACGGTACCGGTATGTACATTGAACCCCCCCCTTTAATTAATCCACCCCCCCTTTAATAAATCCACCCCCCTCTAATTAATCCAGCCCACCCTTTAATTAATTCACCCCCCTTTAATTAATTCACCCCCCTCTAATTAATCCAGCCCACCCTTTAATTAATTCACCACCCCTTTAATTAATTCACCCCCCTCTAATTAATCCAGCCCACCCTTTAATTAATTCACCACCCCTTTAATTAATTCACCCCCTCTAATTAATCCAGTCCATCCTTTAATTAATTCACCCCCCTTTAATTAATTCACCCCCTCTAATTAATCCAGCCCACCCTTTAATTAATTCACCCCCCTTTAATTAATCCAGCCCACCCTTTAATTAATTCACCCCCTCTAATTAACCAGCCCACCCTTTAATTAATTCACCCCCTTTAAGTAATTCACCCCCTCTAATTAATCCAGCCCACCCTTTAATTAATTCACCCCCTCTAATTAATCCAGTCCACCCTTTAATTAATTCACCCCCCTTTAATTAATTCACCCCCCTCTAATTAATCCAGCCCACCCTTTAATTAATTCACCACCCCTTTAATTAATTCACCCCCTCTAATTAATCCAGTCCACCCTTTAATTAATTCACCCCCTTTAATTAATCCAGCCCACCCTTTAATTAATTCACCACCCCTTTAATTAATTCACCCCCCTCTAATTAATCCAGCCCACCCTTTAATTAATTCACCACCCCTTTAATTAATTCACCCCCTCTAATTAATCCAGTCCACCCTTTAATTAATTCACCCCCCTTTAATTAATTCACCCCCCTCTAATTAATCCAGCCCACCCTTTAATTAATTCACCCCCCTCTAATTAATCCAGCCCACCCTTTAATTAATTCACCCACCCCACCCCCTTTAATTAATTCAATTAATCCCAGACATAAAATATCTAGCGGTACTCACATTTCAAAGATTCCTTGCCGAGTTCGACCACTGGGAGCCTCACCGCCCGGAAATGGATCCTTCCGCTGAAGATCCGTGAAGGCAGACTGACGGCGCTGCAAAATGTCGTCATCACGTTGCGCGACGCTCCTCCTACAGCAGAAGAAGGAAGTCTCGCCGCAAAGGTACAATGCCTAGGTCTTATTTTCGGGGTAGGGCTTATATTGCAGCCCACCCCGAAAATCCGACTAGGGCTTATTTTCGGGGTAGGGTTTATTTTCGGGGAAACACGGTATGTAACAATGTAATATAAAGTCCCATCTGTAATATATAACTTTACAAACCTCCACTCAATGTTTACATTATTTGATATAATGTATACGCTTTCAAATCATATTAAATCTGAGAATGTGGCATGCAAACTACAAATATGACATCATTATACTAATTATTCCTCTGGATATGTAGCATTTCAACATTTCTTAAACTCTGTACCAAAACGATTTTAATCCTGGTACTAAGCCCAAAAACAACAACTTATTCTTGCCCACGTAACCTTCTTTGGGCCATGTGACAAATTTTAAACTTAATGTATAAAAATTTGCTCAGATGCAGAATTAGATTTTTGCTAACACGTCTTAAACGATTTTAACGTTTTCTGGAAATTTCAAATGTCCCCTAAATAGTTTACAATATTTAATAATGCATATAACTCATTTTCTGGCATGAATCGTATCCAGCTGGATTTTCCTGGAACATTTCCTGACATGAAAACAAAAATTATGCAATATGTCTCAGCATTTTTTTATCCCAAAAGATTTACCACATATTTTTCTCAGTTTA